AGTTTAACCTTAATCATAACCATACATCTTCAGCCACTCTTTCCTAAAGCTGGATCCTTCCAAAGAATGCTATATACAGAGCTGCAGGTGCTACATAACCAGTTTGGGTGTTCATATGTTTCAGATTTTGATGCCAGAACACAGTTTCAGCACAAGCGGTTTGTGCAACTTTAAGTATGTTTTCTTTTAGTACTATGAACTATATCTATTCTGTTCAATTGCCCAAGATCAAGGAAAACTTGATGTGAGTCGTTGAAAAAGACATTTGTGAAAAATATTGCTCTTTCACAGAAAAATATGCGTTTAAAGCACAAACTGGAACATTTTGATTTTCCAATAATGACAGAATCACAGTTCTAAGAAACTTTCTTCAGTAAAGCAGAGAAAAAGAAGATTGTAGGGTGCCCTTAAAGAGTCTTAGGTTTTTATGGGAGTACAGATGGATTCATGACCAAATAACAACATGGCTCCAAGAAGCAATTATGAGAACAGTGGAAAACACCTTGTAACACAAAACAGATTTGTGGCTGTACACATATCAAAATGTCAGTTCACAACTTTTTTCCATACGCTTCAAAGCGTTGCTATAAACCCCAATACATGAGAAGAATAAAGAACAACCAAAAGGAAATACAGTTGGTGCCTGTGCCCACAGGCTCTCAGTGAAATGTAAAATTCAAATAGAAGTATTTTGCCCTATTTTTAACACTCTTCTATGCATTTTTATTAATGTACAACAGATTATCTTGGTATGTTTGTAATCAAGATATCAACAAATATACAATCCAAATCTAGGACTGTAAGATCTTGTGCAAACAGTAATTCCTAAATAACATGCAGATTATATCCTCATAATTTGTTACAATTTTTCTTCTTTTTTATGAGATAGCAAAAGTTTTAGTAATTAAATGTTAAGAATACAATGCAGTATAATTGCTAGGTGGATGGAGGCTCTGGGGGAAGCAGCTTCATAAATCTGTAGGTCAGAGGAGAGCAGCACTTGCATTAAGAAGTGCTGACACAGTGACACTTTTGCATTAGCAGGCTGGATTTACAGCATCTTAGTCAGAAGATTAGTACTCGAAGCGTTGCCTCACCTCTTTTGATATGTGCAGCACAGATACACCAGCAAGTCTCTAAACAATAACGTAAAATCTGTTCAGGTGAATTGTGACTTGACTGCTGTAGGCTAAAGCGGCGCTTTTCCTGTACACACTCTATTTTTCATCTCTCGTCTGTGCACTCACTCTCGAGATTTGGAGTTTTGTAGCTATTTTTATTTTCAAAATCTACCATCATCAGTGACTATAAAGTTTACATTTGTACATTTATAGAAACCAGCACCATTTTATTTGAATTTAAGCATTTTTCTTAAAGCATACTTTAAAATTTTATCTACAAAAAAGTTATTGAACACTTCCATGGTTATGGAATGCTTATATAAAGTATTAGGGATGTAACGATTACCGGTTTGACGATAAATCATGATACAATTCCCCACGGTTAGTATTACCATTTCATCTTTTAATTATCATTAAAACCGTATTAGATTACCGCGGTTTGAACAACTCGCGATAAATAAATACTGTCCAGCATAAAGCACAGTTTTAAGTAACAGTGTGAGGTTTACCTTTTTAGAAACTTTTTGAAAGCTTTATTTGAGCATTTACATTAGATATTTGAACATGCTATTAAACTGTTGTCAGTCAAGTTGTCATTTAAAATCTGAACATCATTGGTAATGTTATCGTTTTAGTGATTATGCAAACAAAAAGTTATTTTATTTGTTGTTTGTTGATTTTTAAATATAAAACTTGAAGTGATTTATGTGTCGGTACTTTTTTAACATCTCCAGCACATTTTAACAATACCGTGATAATACTGATAACCGTGATAATTTTGGTCACTATAATCGTGATAAGAAATTTTCATACGTTACATCCTTATAAAGTATACAGTTCAATGAACACACATTACTTAGCAGCAGGGCTTGTTGTTGTATTATTTGGGATAAGTTGTCACAATGCAACTTGCTTTTTTGAATACCTATTATAAGCACATTTTAAACCGTAAAACAAAATTTAAACCATACTTCTTTACAGAAATGTGTTTTTTTTGCCATTTTATTTTGAAAGACAGAATTCACAAAAATGATTCAGATTTTTTTTTAACTAATTGTTAATTGTAAATTTGTTAATTGTTTGTCAGTTATTGAGAAATAGCTCTTGTGAAAACTAGCCCCAGTCTCCCATCTGTATACAGTTGAGGTCAAAAGTTTACATCCCCCTTTCAGGGGTGAAAACTTTTTGAATTTGAGGATCAGGGTAAATTTAACTTATTTTGTCTTCAGGGAATCATGTAACTATCTTCTGTAGCCTCTGAAGGGCAGTACTAAATGAAAACATATGATATTTAGACAAAATAAGAAAAATGTACAAATCTCCATTCTGTTCAAAAGTTTTCTCTTAATGCACGGTTTTTCCTTCTGGAGCAACAGTGAGAGTTTGAACCTTCTGTAATAGTTGCATATGAGTCCCTCAGTTGTCCTCGGTGTGAAAAGATGGATCTCAAAATCATACACTCATTGTTGGAAAGGGTTCAAATACACACAAAAAATGGAAAACCAAAGAATTTGTGGGACCTGAAGGATTTTTCTGAAGAACAGCAGGCAGTTTAATTGTTCAGGACAAATAAGGGACTCATGAACAACTATCTAACATGCATTTTGTATGATCCCTCTTATTTTGGTAAAATAATTAAAATTTTGCAGATTCTGAAAACTTTTGATGTCAACTGTATCACCTTCAACATGCACACAATGCTATAGGATCCTAGGTTTGCATTGATTGAAGGTATTTTGAGTCCTCGTTTTAGAATTTTGCTAGTTCCCATAACAACTTCTTCCTTGTGAAATCACCGCTTTCAAAACCTGGCTGAAACAAATCCATCTTACAGAACACTGGCATAAATCCAGATTGTCTGTTTTTCCAACCCTGGCAAACTCAGATAAGACAGTAAGACTCCATTCTTATCCGAACTGACCAGTTTTTTGACATTTACTCCCACAATATGTGGGTGTACATTGCCTCGTTTCTTTTGAAATACCTCTCATTTCACATCTATGTGTTGATTAAATGTACTGCGCAAGGTTACGCCACCAAACAGGAGAATCACTCTCCACCAAAAAAACTTTCATGTTTACATGCACACAGCGAATGGAAATGTTGACCTCCTTCCAATAGCTGTCCGTCGTAAAGCGCAGATCCTTAAACATTAAACATCCGTTTTCCATTTTGTTCCAACTGTGTATCCTAGTATTTCATACTATACAAACCCATATAAGACTATTACACAATATTTGCATTGTAATGTGGAAATCTTTCACAGTGTTTTACGTACCAATCAAATGTTGTTCTCCAAGACTCCTTAAGGTTAGTTAAGCTAGTTTGTGGTCAGAATAAAGAAACCTTCTATTAAGATGCATCTCAGACTGTCTGTTTGGATACTAAATTGTTGGACTCCAGCTGTTCCTTTGCAGCTGTATCTGTTTCCTCTGCTCTCTGGCTTCTCTTTTCCTTATTTTGCCACACCAAATGTTGTCCACGACCATTGTGGGACCTGATGACAGAAAACATGGGGGAAGTGAGCGTAGAGTTCAGCACAGTCACTAAAGGACTTGCTTTTTAGCATTATTGTTGCCCTTATTGCTTTCACGGAATAGAATCATTTCCTTAATGTCGTAATATTTGTTTCCTGAAGGAAAATGCTAAATGAAATGGAACATGAAATGACATAAATAAATGCATGACAAGGAAAGTATTGTGGGAAACAGTAATGCTTTTATTACGGTCAAATGTAATAGTTTGCGCAAGACATTGTAGTATGTTATAATGATGACTAAATGGACCGCAGGGGTGTGAAAAGGGCATGTCAAGTTTTAGATTACCGCATGGCAAAAATATGTAGACAAATCTTACATGATGCATATTTGTCTTCAGTACGGAAGTAAGCAAGTTCAGATTAATGCTGCAGAAGACCTGATAGAAAGGATCTAAAGTACACCTGCTTTGTGATCAAAATGTTCTGAGATATTTGTCTAAATAATTCATTTCAAATGTTTACATGCTCATTAACAAAAAAAACGAAGAGATGAAGCATCCAGGTGATCTGCTCACTGGACATTCACTTACCTCTTTCTTCACTGTCTGCAGAGTATGGAGGTCTGGGGTTGGACTTTAGCTATAGTGTGGCTGTTGCAGAAGAACTGGGGAACATCAACTGTGGAGGAATTCCCATGGCCATCGGCGTGCAGAGTGACATGGCTACACCTGCACTGGCGAGGTATTTCTCCTGCTTAACCTTTTAGTAGTATTCTTAACCAGTTAAGTAAACTGCTTACTATTTTTTTTTAATTAGTAACAGAAACATTAGACATTATTCTATCATAATTTCCAGGGGCCTCATTTATAACGTTGCGTACGCACAAAACCTGCCCTGAAAGAGTCGTACGCCACTTCCTATGCAAAAGATGAGATTTATAAAAAACAAACTTGACGGGAAAATTTGTGCAACTGCACGCAAACTCTGACCCATTCGTACGGACTTTTTTTCCTGGAGTGAGAAAATGAATGAAGTAAACAACGATTTTAAACTGTTTTCATTTCATCATATACATTTACATGAAATATTCCACTCTCATTAATGGAGATAAGCACTAAAATTACATAAAGTCATTACGCAGAAGTTAAACCAAAATTATATGAATTTAGATATAGCCTGTTTGTAGTGGATGCACTTGATTACTTTTCCTGTGGAATGTTATGTTTTAATGACAGCGAGGAGTGCTAGGTGCACAATAATTTATCTTTATACTAAACTGCACATCTCATGTTATGAGAAAATATTTTTTAGCGAGAACAATGATCAGTGATGCACACTTACTTCGATATTGTGGCGGACACTGCTGGATTCGGTGGAACGGTCTATTGTCCGGTTTGAATAGGACCAATGGTAATAGCTTACTGTACAACCGCAGCTGCACGGAAGTGTTGATGTCGCGTGAAGGCATCTCCACAACATTATGAAAAATACCACTGTATTTGAAGGATACAACTTGAAGAAAACAGTAAGATTTGCACGTTTCCATTTTTAAAATACTTTGTCAATGACGTGCAGAGTCAGATAATTGTATTTACACTGCAATAAATATAGGCCTATATTTTTCCACTAAAGTAGTTAAAAGATGTTCACCTTATCAGCAAAACTGCATTAATTTAATTTATTTAGAGTTTTTTTTAACAACTGAAATATTTGGCCAGTGGAAACTAATGAGATCAACTCTATTCTAAATTATTTTTCTGAGAACTATTTTAAACAGTATTTTTATGGATATTTTGATGTATTTATTCTAAAACATAACAAGGATACTTGATGATTTTTAGCAATAGAAATGTGTGTATGGCACAAATGGCATTTATAGTCCGTGTCTCATATTTCCTTAATGTCTTGTACCTTTGATGGTGTTATTCGGGTGGATGGGAATATGCATAGAAATGATATGCAGATGAGGTTATGCATAGTAAAACTAGGCGTTGTAAGCTCCATATATGGTGATTTCGGGGAGGAGTCGGGGTGGAGATGCACGTACGCACAATCTTACCCTGACTGGGATTTATAAAGGGATTTTTGCGCAGGTTCTGGCGTACGCATGGTTTTATAAATCAAATTTTTGTGCGTACGCAAAATCTAGCTTTTGTGCCTACGTACACTTTTAGGATGAAATCTACAGAGAGTTTTATAAATGAGACTTCAGATGTATGCTACATTACTCTTCACATTGCACATGTGAGGGAGTCGGGACATTGCATTACTGTATTGATAAAAAATGGTATTTTGCACTTTTAGATTAGTTGTTGGTGAGAAAATGTCAATACAATGAAATAATAATTAAAAGAGATGGTAAAAACCATGATAATTACTTTTGGTTCATTCGTCACACGGGTAATGAAAGGTGAAGTTGGGTGCAGTCCTTACATAAAGAAAATTTGCATTGTGCACATTATGCATAATTTATACTGCAGAAAGTGTAAAAGTAGTATCTAATTAAGCTATTTTGAACAGCCAGTCTCACTGGCTTCTTCATCAGTTGGCCTTGTCATTAAATGCCATTTGTCTCGCAATATTCATCTTTCACTTTGAAAGTTACTTTTAAAAATTCTTAATATCTTTTAAACAAGGTGAATTTACTTGAGAAATATCTTGATTTAAAGTAGTCAACCCATTTGCAAGAAGTTTTTGTTTTTTTTGCTAAATAAAAATGAATTAGGTTTGGGAATTTTAAGAAAAATAAACTTAAATTAAGATATGAGATATATGCTCTTATAAGAAAATATATTATGCAGTTTTGCTTTTAAAGTAATCGTTTTTTTTTTATTATTTATTTACTTACATATTTCTGTGTTTTTATTTATTTATTTATTTTGAATGGGGAAAAGGCTAAAAAACTGATTAGGAAAATTACTTTATTTTATCTAGTAGAATGTTGCAGTAGACTGAATGAGGTATTTCTTCACCATGTGTTGATAAACTCTTAAAACAAATGAAATCACCTATCACTTATTATAAATAAATACTGTAGTCATCAGGATGGTTCCTTTTTAGCATTTGACATATTCTGCTCACTCTCTGGAAACACTCATTTTTCTGTGCATATTCATTTTGGCTATTTGGATTCAGAAAATCAGGGATTTTGATTAGTCTTTGTGATTCTGCCCTATGGAACAGTTTCTGAAATTGCATTTGCTGCTAGTAAAATGTTAATGTCTTCTGTAGCCCATGCTGTCTCACGAGCTTTTAATCACTGTTGCTACGACACTCACAAAAGAACTGTGAGGATGTGACTGTGACCTCTGTGCTGTTGTAGGTTTGGTTCTGCAGAGCTCAAGAGAGAGTTCTTGCAGCCCACCATAATGGGAGACATAGTGGTCTGCCTCGGGGTGAGCGAAACAGGGGCCGGCTCTGATGTAGCAAGTAAGTATTTTGCTGGAGATAATGTACCTAACAGGAAAGACATGCTCTTTATATTGCCATGGGGGTGTTCTAAACAAGATGTAAACTTACACCAGACGCAAATCTAAAATTAATTACTTTCCCAAATGAAGATATCAAAGCATTTCAGGCCAGGGAGATTAAAAGACTTGCCTACATGGGAATAGCACACAGGGGGATGCAGATCCATTTTTCATAAATGTATTAAAATTTGTATTTGAAGTAAAGCTGGTACTAGTCACAGATTATTAATGAGTTGTTTTGAGGAGAAATTAAAGTACTGTATTACTTTATTTTACATTTAAAGCCAAGTAGATCTAAAGCAGTGATTCTCAACCTTTTTGGCTTGAGGGCCCTTCTTTCCTCCAAAAGAAGGGCTCCAAAAATCCTCCAATTTCCTCTAATATTTCTGCTGTAATTATGACAACTCTGGTTGTTTTCAACTTTTTTTATTAACAGAAACTGGGAGCGGTGATGTAGTTAAGTTAACCACAGTTCATTTTGTGATTCCATAACAGTGTTGTTATTGTTAACAAAAACTATTAAAAATAATTTTCAGTAATTGAAACAAAATTAGTGAAATAAGTTAAAGTACTAAAACTAAATAAAAAAGAAATCAAAGCTATATATGAATATAAAAAAAGTAAAACAAAAACTAATAAAAAATGCTACAACTTGAACGAAAACTGAAAAATATAAATATAAAAGCTAATTTCAAATACTAATAAATACTATAATAGTATATAATCAATAGTAAAATAACATTTTTAAGCATAAATGGTCAAGTTTGTTTATGAAATATTGTGTAAAAAAACTAAATTTAAGATAAAACATCATACAGTTTTGCTTCTCAAGCCACCTGGTGTTTCAAATGTTTATATTTTTGTTTAAAAAAAATCAAAATTTGAAGAAAAAAAAACTATTAAAAATACTAAAACTTTTAAAATTTAAATGTAAACTGAAAATATAAAAATAGAAACTAACTTAAAATACTATAATAGTATATAAATAATAAAAATATAATAAATAAAATAACACTCCTCAGGAAGTTTCAAGAACTAGTTCTTTAATAAAAAACAATAGTTACTGTTGGGGGTGGGGGGAAGGTTTTTTAGCATTTTAATTATGTAAAGGTGTTATTAATAATAATAATAATAATATTTATATGAATAATAATAATTCATTTAAATCATTTTAAGTGACCCCGTGGCCCAATTGGAAGCTTTCTGAAGCCCCATAGTAGGCCTCTGCCTCCTGGCTGAGAACCACTGATCTAAAGAGTCTAATTTGGGAATAAATACTGTCTCCTTCAGGCATCAAGACTAAAGCTGTGCGCAAAGGAGATGAATTTGTCATTAATGGAGGAAAGATGTGGACTACTAATGGCACCCAGGCAGACTGGATGTGCCTCCTGGCCAACACCAGCGAGGGCCCTCCACACAAGAACAAATCCCTAATCTGCTTACCTATGAATCTGCCTGGTAAGACGTAATGCAAAAGCACCAAACTTTTGGAAAAAGAGTCTTTTGACTGCCAAAGAAAACATGCTAATGTTTTACCGTACGTCCGCAGGCGTTCACATCGCACGTAAGATCGATAAAATAGGCATGCGGTCATCGGATACAGCAGAGGTGTTTTTCGATGACGTGCGTGTGCCCTGCAAAAATGTCATAGGGCAGGAGGGAATGGGCTTCAATTACCAGATGCTTCAATTCCAGGAGGAGCGACTTTGGGGGGTGGCCAATAGTAAGTTATCCTTTCCGACTCCCACACACAGAGCCGATCCTCCCTATACGCAAAGTACACACGCTGCGTAGGGCCCCCTTGCTCTCAAAGATGATTTAATTCCCCCCCAGAAGTCTAGGATCGGCTCTGCCCACACATCCCACTGCACAGCAAACATTTCTCTTCACTGGCACGGGCATGACGTCAGTGTGTTAAAGTCAGTAGTGCCTGTGTGTTTACAAGCCAGGTCAGATCTTCTCAGGCCCAAATGTGTTTATCAGTGAGTCAAACTTGTGTGCTTTGCTTTAAACATCAAGGAAGAAAAAGGTCTGGCATGTTCTGGAGGATCTTTTGACATCATTTCCGTGTTCCTGTCTAGATGTTGTCAGAGCTGAAATCCAGCTATTTCCTCAATCATATAATTTGCTGAAAAATACATCGACATTTTTCCTATGCCTTGTTTTTTAAGTTCTAACGACCATGGAGAAAGTTGTCCAAGAGACCGTTAATTACACCAGACAGAGGAAGATCTTCAATCAGCCGATTCTGTACCACCAGGTCGTTCACTTCAGGCTGGCTGAGCTGCAGACAGAAATCGAGCTGTTGCGCTCCCTTTTGCATCGCGCCACAGGTGAGTTAAATTATTCCGGAAATGGTTTTATAGGCCAAGGCAGCTATGCAATTTCATGGGTTTGGGTCTGGCAGGTCTACAGGGCCACCAATTTCCGAATTAATAATGGAAAGAAATGGTGTGAGCACTCACTGGCTTGCAATCAGTCCATTTTCATTCTTCCTCCCTCAGGTTGTGAAATTAAAAATTGGAGCTGAACCTCAGCGTGAATACCTGAAAATGAATACCTCTGAATTTGTTTTTTGTTTCTTTTCCCTGTGCACTTTCATTAGCTTTGTACATTAAGGGAAACGATGTGACAAAGTTGGCGTCAATGGCCAAGCTGAAGGCAGGACGACTGGCCCGAGAGCTCGGTGACAGCTGCCTCCAGTACTGGGGTGGCATGGGCTTCACCAGTGACGTCCTAGTCAGCAGGTTCTACAGGTCAGTTTCTCTCATCTGAATGAGGTGAACATGCATGAGCTCTCAGAGCTGCAGTGACATCTAGTGACATTTAAAAGCAACCGGTTTGGATTGCATGTTTATACTCATGAGTATAGAGCCAGGTCAGGTATGAATGCAGTGAATCGAATTTCCAAGTGATTTATAAAATTGCAAAATATTGGATACAAATCTATCTGATCTGTTTTTTCTTAACAGGGACTCCAGGTTAATGTCCATTGGTGCAGGAGCTGACGAGGTGATGCTGTCAATCATATGCAAGTACATGGACACTCTACCCAAGAAATGACATCACCAATATGAGTTCAGTTTGAAAAACAAAGTGCCCTTAAAAGGTGAATCTGACACTAAATATAAATGAACTATAGTTATATCAGTTATAAAAGCCATTAACAACCTTAAGATGGATGATTTGTACCTTGCAGTAAAAAAAAGGGTATTTTAATAAAGACTTGATGAAAAACTTTATATGTAGTTATATGTGACATAGGTACATTTTGATTATAGTTTTATATGAATGTTTGTTGCTAATATGTATGAAAAAAATTAAGTTTTCATAATTCTTCAGTAGCTTGTTGTAAGATTCCTGAGAAGTATAAATGGGATATATGAAAACAGGATTCAAGTTGACAACATAAAGGAATTTATGTAATAATTCTCTGAAAAATGACATTTATTTACAAATTAGTTCCTAAAAAAACTGAAATTAACCATACATTATTTTAACCATAGAGAGCAAAAGAGATTGGACAAGAACTTCAAAATTACTTAAGACATTTCTGAAGTACACAGAATTATGGGGTTGTTTTTAATATGGTCATTATTATACATCTGCATTGCACAAACTCTCGTATCAATGTGGTTTTCACAATCTGAAGATCAACCCCTTTGAACACTATATTCATACAACATTCTTGAAAGAGTTGCCACAAAATTGTAAGACTTTCACAGTAAAAGAAAGGAAAATAAAGGCTGATTAGGTGCCACTCTTTTAAATGCATTTATCTGTATCCTTATAGAAGATATAAATTAGCACACATTTATAGCACTGAAGTTCTCCTAAAAGAATAATACTATTAAACAAAGGTCATTATTTCAGAAAAAAAGAAGGAAAGATGCATGTTAATCTTCACAATATATTTTAGACAACTAGCATTATCCCTTCCCCTCGGGGGACACTAATGGTGGGTTAGGACAGATTTTTGTCTCATATTGCACATTGTCAATCAATGGTTCAACTTCTTGTCCAATGGAAAGAAAGCACTCTCGTACTACTCAATAACCTCAGTCCTCGTCATCTCTGTGAGGATTCTGACCCTCTACCACAAATAAGCATGGCACAAACGAAAGGTCCTGAAGAGTCATCAGTCCTACGATCACCTCAGTTTGATCACCCAGTACAGGACAATAAACACAAACAGGGCAAACAGCAGCATGTAGCAGTACACCTTGGTTTGGCTTCCCCTGGAGAGGAGCTTCAATCTACCAATGGTGGCTCCCAACAGACCTCCAGTTGAGTCAAAGTCCGAGTCCTTGAGGAGAAACAAACGTTAGATATTTAAAGGGGTCATATGATGCTGCTAAAAAGAACATTATTTTGTGTATTTTGTGTAATGAAATGTGTTTATGTGGTTTAAAGTTAAAAAAACACATTATTTTCCACATACTGTACATTATTGTTTCTCCTCTATGCCCCGCCTTTTTGAAACGCGTCGACGCATTATATGACCCCTTTAAGCTATTCAGATAAGTGTTTTGATGAAGAGAGTAGAATCGATTCCCATCGCTTACCATTTCTCCTAACATTTTATTCTGGTACTTGACCTCATTTCCAATGTCAATTGAAAGCTGAAACAGATGTAAAAAGTATAGGTTATTTAGGATTCAACACTTTATTGCCATAACCTAGCTGTATGGAACAAATGTGCTCACAGGAGAACTAATGTATTGTTTGCATAATTACTACGTTTAACAACAGCCAGTGCTAAAGAAAAACTGTATTTTAAGCTTAACAGCCCAAAATAATGATACTATATACACACACACACACACACACACACACACACACACACATACATATATATATATATATATATATAGTGCACTGCATAAATGAGTACACCCCCTCTGAAACTTAAATTCAGCAATTACTCTGAGAGAGAACTGTCAAGAGATTTATTTCTTAGCATAAAAGAGGACAATGATACAAGATAAATTATATACCAAATTATTGTTTTAAGTGTGAAAATATAGCCAAAGTAACACAGAAATTCAAAAACAATGGACTTGTGAAAAGGCCCCTGAAATAATCAGGTCTTCACTTTAAGCTTTCATTTAGTGATGAGTGAGTTTTTGCTAGAAAAAGAGCAGGAGAGACACTGTGAAAGTGTCTCAGAGCCGGCAAAAGCTATGAAAAGAGTGACACTTTATCTCACAGAGTAAGACGCAGCATGCAGAAGTGACATGCGTGGTTGTTTATCCACACCAGAACTACCGACTGTAGCCAAAGCACAATAAACTCATTTAGCTTTTTCCAAGGCCCATATTTACAAAATATAGACTTCTGGGAATCCATACTCTGGTCTCAAGAGACCAAGTCAATCATTT